TGAAATAGAAAAGCAATGTTTATGAAGTTGCTGGCACAAAAGAGGAAATAAATACAATTCTTTAAACTTTGGAAAGTACAATATCGCTGAAATGCTTTCCACAGGTTCAGCTGCTTGCTCCTTTCCGTACTCTGAGTAGCACCTTTGCTACATATACCACCACACTGAATTTGAAGAGGACACTGAGGATCTTAATTATTTCAGTGACCAGAACCTGGGTCCATATTTCAGAGTACATAAATTTATGTATAAAGTATATGTATAAAGTATAAATCTGGGCAATAACTGTCAATCAGATCACTCTTTCTGTCTGACTGTGCTTTTAAATTCTCTGGCTGATATCATAGCACAGAAACTTTAAAAACAGTTAAGCAAAGATGGAAAGAATAAGAAGAATGCTCTAATCTCATAGAAACAGCCTCTGCAGGATCCCAGATCACTTGCTGCCAGTTAGCTTAAGAATTTAGTCAGCCAAAACAAAATGATGCATGCCCTGTATTGCAAACTCTGCTCCAACTCCAATTCCAAGCATCTGCTTCAAAAAATTGGACAAAGCAAATGGGTACATGTTTTAAAGTATTTTGCTGCAAAATATACTTCCTCCTTTCTACACCACACTGGCAAAATGGGACACGAAGCAGTTAGCTGCACTAATAAGTATCTTTTGAGCAACCCATGGAAAAGGTGATTTTGTGCTTTAGGTACAAAAGTTCAAACATGAAAACCCCTTTTCTAGAAGAAAATACCCAATAAAGCTGTTGATGTTAACAATCTGCTCACACCAGTAAGGCTACCAAGAGCAAGCCATCTCTGCGTTTTCAGTACACGACAAGTGCCTGGAGCCAACAAACATCCAGTTCGGGATTTTGGGGCCTAAGAGAATGAAACGTCTGTTTACCACTGTATTTCAACACAGTGAGTGTCAAAACTGTCAGCTGTTCTGAAAGCGCAAGGCTTGAAGTACAAGCAAGTTCATTTCACTCGCACGCTTTGTTATACCGAAGGTCAAGATAAGTAGAAAACTATTTTGGGCCTTTTAAATAATCATATAATTACTTGTTACTAGTAGTAGATTGACATTGTTTCGTAGTTGCTAGCCTATTAAAACCACTAACTGATCTACCAGGTTCAGCTGCGGCTGCAGCTGGGTGAAGAGGATGCTCTTCACATCTGCATGTACCATCCTCTGGAGGAGGAAGAACAGTAACAGAGAGCAGAATCCTTTTGTTTATCATGCAGAATCTGACACTGTTTTAAAAGGGTGATGAAGGAGAGAGACTGATGTGCCAGGTAGATAAGGAGAGGTATGCATGACCTACCTCTCTGCGAGCTGAAAATACCGTTAGAAGAGCCAGAAATAAGCTCCTTTCTTTTCCTGTGAGATGGACACATTTCAGGGTAACCTGGCAGGCTGCTGCCTCAGCCCAGCCCTTGCTACTCTCATGCCTGCTTTTCAAGCTGACATTTGCCCTTGTGTAGAGATCCTCCCTAAGGCGTGCCATTGAGGCCATTTAGAGATCAAAAGTTTTATTATTTATTTTATTTTCCACATTCCTTAACTTCAGTCTTCTCAAGCTTTGTTTTCACTTGCCCAGAGGAAGCTTTTATCTACTGCAAAAGAACAAGTCAAATTTAGTGTAATTTCAAGTGCAAATACGCAAATGGAGACAATGTTCCTTGAGTGTTTATTGCAAAAGTCAGTTCTCTGCTCCTCGCTTGTGGTTGACCATGCTTACTTTCCTTCACAGGAAGACTGAAATGCTTTGTATTGATTTGCTTTTATAGCAAGCTGCTTTTCTGTATTAGCTATCCTATAGCAGAAACCTTCCCAGCAGAAATAATGGAATGATATTTCTGCAATGACTTCAGGCATTTGCTTCACCTTCCTAAGCGCTCCGTAGCAATGCAGGAATTTTTCTCAGTCAGGGTCCTTCCCCTGATGATGACAGCAGGTGCTGATGCATCAGATCAACTAATCGGTAAAAATACATCTTACTAAGAACATTTAATGTTACTGTTTGATGTTTTTAAAAGGCACATCTCCTTTATCTTAGCCTATTCCTGGAAGAGTATGTGAAATATTCAGCTAACAGTTTTTTTCCAAATTCCATGCATAAGAAAACGTGGACTTACGTAAGTTGGAATCATCGTCCCTGAAGGAAAGTCCTTTACAAATAAATGGAATATAGAAACATGTACTTATGTAAAATGCTTAAAAAAAAAAAAAACCTTTCTTTTTAACCACCATTCACAAATTTAACATTTTCAGAAGATTTTTAGTAGGGAGAGCTCTTGGCATGCACTGGATTCTTACCGCCCTCTTATTCAAATCAAACCTCGGGCTCAGTGGCAGCAGATCAAGTAACCTTGGGAGGTCTGCAAGGGAACTCGGTTGCATTGCTTATCACAGACAATCATATTGTATAACCACAATTTTACATTTACTGTTTTTAGACTAGTTATGCTTTAGTAGAACTGGGAGGCAGCCCACTGGCATTGCATGGACACATGCTACTGGACTACTCTTGGGGCAAGGTAGGGCCAAGGGCATTTCCGTGCTTAGGGCACGGAAATGTTACATGTCAGAACTTCAGGGGCTTAAAAAAGAAAGTGAATTTCAAACCCAAGGAGCCAATTTTTAAGAAAACAAAAGCACTTTTGGGAAGCCATTGTATTTTGAATGGTTCCTCTTATTCAAAAAAGAGCTCTTCCAGGAAAGTTTTAATTCTGGAAAATTAATGGATATCACAACCCAAGGCACTTCATGGAAAGCATCTAGTCTACTGCCTCCTTTCACATAGAAGGCAATTTCCAACATCAACGCCTTTGCCAGTTGCAGCAATCTGTAATGTGGCTTTTCAGATAACCTAGTACCAAATAATGTTGTTGTTTTTTTTAATAAATCAAAATTAACACATAAAATTCTACTTAAAAATGGAATGAGAAAAAGATCTTAAGTGAAGGTGATGATGCAAGGAGTACTAGGCTTTTCAAGGACTTAAGATAATTAGGATAAGTGACCTTCCAAATCTTTTGAGATTTATCCAGCTATTCCTTGACATACTGCTATAATATATATTTACAAGTAGGAGAGTAAAGGTAAGAATCATGTAATTTTCTGAAGAAACTACATGTAGGTAAGGAAAATGAGTGCCCGCATACTGAAGTGCAGGAATGACCTAAATAGATTAGCTATGATCTTAGCTAAAGTACTCAGATTTTTCTTTTTTAAATGCAGTTTGGAAAGGAACTGAGAAAATATATTTCAATGACATTTGAAAAAAATTCCTGATTATTTCTTATGATTTGAGGCATTTCTCTTTCTTATGAAAACAGTTGTCTATCAGACTCATAAGCATATGAATCTCTTCAGCTGACTACAGTATTGTTTTCTTCAATCTGCCTGTTCATAACTCAGCCTCTTATTCCATTATAATGCTTGAATGATTCACATGCAATGTTTCCAATCCACTTTTCCTATCTTGTGAAACTTTTTAACGAAATGTTAGCATTTGCAGGCACCAGATGTTTTGACATAAGGAGAAGCAATATGTAAATTTTAATCCATGCTAGGAACAATAGCCTGGAGGCACCTTTTTCTTATTACATGAATCATATACTTAACCACAATGTGGTGGATTATATCAAAATCATTGCCACCTTGAATATAGAACACTTGTCTTGTGGTTGCCAATTAATGAAACTGATATATATTTAACCTGATGGCTACCAGTGATTTAACCAATAAGCTGCAGCATACTTCGCTATTGTAATCCCCTTAAAAATCAGACTTTTGGTCTGGCAACTGATTATTATCAAAACTTCACAGGTTTTCCCCTAATATCCCATTGGTTGCCAGTACAAATGATGCTAACCTCAGATCTGTTCATCTGTCAATTTCTAATATCACTGTTTTCACTCAAGCAGTGTATCATGCAGTGCTTTTCTAAATCTTTGAAATAACTTCTGATTTTTATTTTCTGATCCTGTTTATTTAATCATTAAGAGTCTGATTCTGCAACAGGCTAAGCACTACCTTTCTTCAAAGTGGACTGAGAGCTTTCACTGCTTCACAAAGGAACTGAGCACCTTTCATGATCAAATCCTAAGTGCATAATAAATATGTAAAAAAGCAAAGCTTCTTTCCTTGGCTAATCACTGAACTTGAAGTAATATTTATAATATTATTCTGTTTTAACATTAATAGGGGTGTCTTAATGATTTAGTGAAATAATAAGAGTCGGGAGAGCATCTTTATTTCAAATAAAATGTTTATCTGATGCACACAAAGAGCACTATTTAACAAGAAACAAATGTATTATTACAAAACCATATCTGAAATGTATGTTACTACTTAAAATTTTTGCATCATTTCATGCAGAGAAAGCACCAAATATCTTCTAAAGAAAGCAACACTTCTCATATTAGAATTCAAAATGCTACCCAAATCCTTACTTAATTCATTAAGTAACAGTATCTTTAAGTGCCAAAATGCTACCTAATTATCAGCTTTAAAAAAATGTTTTACATCTTAAAATACAATATTCTGTTTATTCTAGATTGTCTGGGGAACATCTAGTACATTAAAAGGTTTTGTAGAGCTTCTTAGTGATTTAACAGATATCATCATGCCTGCTAGCAATTTTGCAACATTCTGAAAACACTTTCCATAAATCAAAGCCTTAGCAGCAGGA